CTGCCACTCCAGCATGCACAGCCCGGGGAGTGGTGCGTGTACCCTGGCTGGGGCAGGTTCAGGCTCATCAGCCCTTGGTGCTCCCCAGATAGAGTGAGGAATGCAGAAAACTGCACTTTCTGCTCACTCTCTGATGAAGGGGAATAGCCAGCAATGTCCCCATATGAATGCGGGGGGAGGGGAGACAGGAGCTGCAGCCCTGCCCACCCTCCCTTAAGCACAACTAGGGGGGTCAGAGGCAGTCCTAGATGGGGGGGGCACACCCCCAGCCAGGCCCTTTTACTTGCCCAGTGATTCTGTCTCTTTTCTATGTGGTTTTATGTGTCCTGTATGAATTGGGGGTGCGGGAGCTTCACCCCACCCGCGCCCAAGCATACCCTTATCCTCCTTTAAGTTATGATAAGGGGAAGCTGCACACCAAATTTGGTGGTCCTAGTTCTTAGTTCTTGAACAAACAGATGGAGACAGACAGAAAGGAAGACTCGCTTGCTCAAAATTCTCTCACATAGATATTAGAACTAGCCTTTAAAGACAAAGATACATTCTATTATAAAGCATTGGAAGATTTACCTGGCGTTGCTTGGGTCCTCAACTAATTTTTGTTTTTTGGAAAATAAAATGAAAATGTCCATGCTTCTGTTGAATAATTACTCTTGAATGGGGCTGGAGATGAGGGGTTCAGTATGCAAGTTGCCCTGGGGAGAGAGGACTACCCCACCAGCTTGGCACCAGGTGAGAGGCGTCTTTCCACGGCCACTGCTGCTCCAGAGGGCACAATAAGGCGAGGATGTGTCACCTTCGGCTGAGGCAGGTACATCTACCTTCTGCATTCCCCAGTCAGAATGAAGAATACAGCAAACTGTGCACTTTCCCCTTGCTCCCTGATGAAGGGGAACAGCCAGCAATGTCCCCGTATGAACTGGGTAGAAGGGAGTTTCAGCCCCCCACCATCTGTAAAGGGCACTTGGAGGGATGGGTGGGAGGCTCAGGGCTGGGGCAGTTCTGGATGGGGGAGAGTCACCCCCAGCCAGGCCCTTTCCCCTGTTTGGTGATTCTTTCTTTTTTGGTTCTCTCAGAAGCAATCCCATTCCAGGCACATCCCATTTTTCTGGCACAACTAAACCCTGGCCTTGCTTTAAGTTATGATAAGAGGAATCTCCATGCCAAATTTGGTGACCCTAGCTCTTACCGTTTAGAAGGAGTTCTTGAACAAACAGACAAGAGACAAATAGACAAACTCTCTCAAATATAGTAGATATGAACAAGTGGCTAAAGTTTACCATTTCCTGATGTTTGCTTGGTTATCATTTCCTGATGTTTGCTTAGGCTTAACACACTTTTCATGTAACTATGGAGTTTCTTCTGAGATTTTGAAAGAAAAAGGAAATTCCAGCATAGAAAACTATTTGACGAGACACCACCAGATGTCCCTATCTCATCTACCA